ATAATTTGCGTATTGATGCATAAAGAATAAAGCCGGTAAAGCTAGCCCGCGAACATAGAGAAAGGTCTATGCCCGCGAAAGCTTTCATTGTTACTAACACGGTGTTATATAATACGTATATAAATATATATAATATTATAATATAATTTTAATAGTATTATTTATTATTATTAAAATTATATTATGCCAACACAAGTCAAAGATTAAATATATTATCATATTCGAAGTTTTCCACGGAGGGCGTCTCATTATAGCCGACAGAAAAATGACAAGAAATGTATTTGTCGCCTGAATTAAATGTCAAAAAACTATACTTGGAAAAATATGAAAAAAACATGTTTGAAGTATATGCTGTAAGACGGAAAGAACATCTGTTTAATCCTAAAGTAAGCTACGACTTTTACTAGAGATATTTTAAAACAAATTTTAATATTACTTTTAAAAGTCCTCGGATGGACACATGTAACTTCTTCTGCGAGAAATTTGAAAATAAAATGAAGTCGCATATTTCCGAAAAGGAATTAAATCAAATTAAAACAGACAGATAACTTCATTTATGCAAAGCGGAAGTATTTTTTGAAGTTTTTAAATTAAAAAGGACAATAAGCAAAAGTTAATCCGGAAGTAGTCGTCATCTGATTCGACCATCAGCAAAATGCCCCTTTACCGAAAGTACCATCGGGAATTTTATCTGTGACAACTTTTGCATTTATTTCGCAAACACAGGAATGTCACATTTCTATATGAACGATAAAGTTACTGGTAAGAAAACACCAAACGAAACTATTAGTCTGCTGGATAGTTACATTAAGAACATTATGTCGAAGAATGTAAGAATTCAGTACATTTTCTTAGACAACTGCGCAGCTCAAAATAAAAAAGGGAGTTTAGTGCAATATATACACACTTTGGTTGAAAGCAACAATTTCAAACAATAGTTCGCATCGCTATCCAGAACCTGGTCATTCGTTTCTACTCTCTATTCGATAGGTCAATTGGGGTTGTAGAAAAGGCAGTACGAAAAATTGAACGAATATTCACTCCCGGCGAGTATATTACGAAAAATGTAGCAAAAAATATTTTAATGTCATACCAGTGAATCAACCAATGAGTTTTAATTTTACGAATAACTTGAAACCACATTTTAAGAAAACATTAATAAACCAACATCGGTAGACACGGAAGTAATAAAGTGACACGGGACAGGTCAAGGAATCACCTATGTAAAGAAGAAATCAAGAGTGGAAGGGGACACTTGCCACAAAATCCTGGCAATAATCAATCAATATTACCGAACAGCGTAAGAGTAGACAAACCAAATCAAGTAAGCAGTAATATAAGCATAAATTTGTATGCAAGGAAAGTGACCAGTATAACAGGGTACTAATTAAATACATAATTTATTGGAAAATATAAGATTTACAACTTTAAGCATATTTTAAATTAAATATCTTAAAATCAAATAACACCACACATCAGTGGCGGCTGGTGGATTTTTGGTATACCACTATCTTATTTATTAGATATGGGACCCACACCAAATTTATATGAGTTTATAATATACATTAAATAAACAAGTTCTGCGCAAGCATAATTTAAATTGAAGTTTGCGAAAAAAAGATAACCGAAACATCGAATATGGAACTGACGACAAGGTAATGATGAATGGGATACAAATTTGAGATTATAATTCGGAATTAAGTATTTTACTGATATTTTTTATTAGTGAATGCTACTTATCAACAAATCACATATAGCCTTGTATAAATTACAATGAAATAAATATACGTAAGAAAATAACTACTCACCACAGTACTGAAATTTTGACTGTGACTATACGTGCATTCACCACAACTTCGCCGCTTGCATTGTTTTCAAGACGACTGTCGTGCAAAGGGCGGGCTCTGTAGGTAATTTTTACCAACATTTTAGTTAAAACGAGGACTTGACGTTTAAACTTCAATATTTTGCAAGAATTTTGAATTTTTAACATTGGACACAGAACTGGCGAGTACAAAGATTATCAATTTTTAAAAAATTGCTATTATTCGAATCTATGATAAAATATGAAAAATACATTATTTAATGTTTTATAGTTTGTAGTGAAATTGAAAAATTTAAGATAAATTGAATATATTTTAAAATAAAATCACTCAAATATTTGATTCAGGAGTTGTGACACGCCAAGGTACTGATGTTTTTAATATTTATTATGTTTTTCTACAAACGTGCTTTTGAAAAAATACATTAAAATTGGGTGGACAAGTTAAAAAAACCTGGATCTTTTGTAATATACTAAAATATTTACAAAAAATATTAAAATACCTACTCTATTGACTGATGAAATCAAGTCCAACTTTTGTAGAATCACCCATATGTATATAGTAAATTTAAAAGTAAACTACGTACACGTCATCAATAAAACAAAAATTTTACGCATTGGTACCAACACTAAACGACTAAATCGAAGTTTGTAATTGAATATTTGAATGCATTTTAACCAAATTAAGTTGGCAACAATTGTGATGTTGTCATGTTTACATTCAAATTTTTCATATTTAAATGACACATAAAAAAGAATTTGACGTTTTAGAATTTCAAAGCTGTCAGTTGTGTTTTTGAATATTTCGTTTAATTCGTGTATTATTTCGTTTACTTTGTTTGTTGTTTGTGTTATTTTATATCGTTTAAGTTTTCATTGCCGTTTTTGTGTTTGTTATATATCGTTTTTTTGTGTTTCCTATATTTAAAATGCCGAAGCATTTAAATAGTCAGAGTCACGAGTTGGTGTCATCCTTAATACGCTATTTTGAGGCAGAACAGGATAATAATGGACCTTTGTTACCTTTAACAGCTGTTAGAGAGGTAAATAGGATTATTATTAATTATATATTACAATATTTAACAACATATATGTTGGATACATGAAATAATAATATATATATACCAGAGACTGACTTTAGATGGCAAAATTTTTGGGTTTTATATCAGAAAATGTCTTTAAAAATGGCTAAAAACATACTTTTGGCGGTGCATCATATAGGTTATCTATGATAAAAACTCAGACTTTTGACATTTTGGTATTATTCATGTTTATTCAACGCCATCTATCGCCCTGTAGTTGCACTACCACTTTCCCTTGATGCAAGGATTTTAGCAACACATTGACAACCGTGCCCGATCAGCTGATTGATGACGTGTACGTAGTTTTCTTTTAAATTTACTATACATTTATACGATTTTAAATGTTTTATAATCGACTATTTCCCTCGTCTTAATTTCCACCAATCACAAACGCGCAATTTTGAATTACAAATGGTTTCTAGGTGAAAAAACTGTGTGACAGCACCTGTCAGCAGTTTATTCGAGTTTACCCGCGGCAAAACTTGACAGCTGTTGTCAACAAAAATTTCAATTTATATTTTAATTGTTAACTGTTACTCATGAAATAGTCTTGTCAAATACCATTCGGGCATCTAATTTTTCCTATGACAAAAATCGAAAAAACACAATGCTAAGTAATATTTTTTAACAAAAAGCATTCGTGCAGGTGCAAAAATCCAACGTGTTTTTTCGATTCTTTTCGGAAAAATTAAATGCCCTTATGATATTACTTACGAAAAAAACGGTTTTTTACAATATCTCAAAAACAAACGCTAACTAAGCAAAATAATGATTATTTTTGTAATCAGCGCACCTAAATTACCCTAGAAAAGATGTTGGCCACTCTGGACAAAATGCCTGACCAGTGTAATTCAAAACATAACTAAACCAGTAGAATTACATAATAAAAATAACATATTACGAGAATTTATTTCTAAAATTGCTAAAATTAGTTGTACTTTTTAGTAAAATGGGAATATACCTACTATAAAGTATTAGGGTGTTTCATTTAAAACGATTATTTTTTGTTTTTCACCGACACTCCAAAATATTGTTCAAAACATCGAAAAAAAAAATTCTCTTAAAGTTTTAGCCCTTAAATTTGATTTTCAGTATTTTATTTTTCATTTTGAATTTTTTCTATTTAAAAAATTTCTATATCTTTGCCGGGTTTTAAGCTATTATATTCATTGTTACAGAATATCTAACGCTTTTTAAAGAGCCTTTAAGAATTTTTCTCTAACTTGATTTACCTTGATGGTATCAGCTCTAAAAGTCATTTTTTTACTTTTTTCACAAGCATTTAAAATTAAATTTAAGGGCTAAAACTTTGAGAGAATTTTTTTTCTATGTTTTAAACAATATTTTGGAGTGTCGGTGAAAAACAAAAAATAGTCGTTTTAAATGAAACACCCTAATGTAGTATAATTTTATTTGAAAAAAAATTAATTATTGTTTAATTTGCAAGGACATTGGAAAGTCGTAAAAGTAATTATTAGCTCTTCTTATTCCTTTACAAACATATTTATGATAACAAACTGTAACAAATTTTTACATTTTCATTTTTGAACTACCCGGTCCAATTTTCTTACCAAGTGGGCACATTTTATTAATCAATTTTATTTAAATGTATTAAAACATATTTTATAAAATTTAAAATATAATTTGAATATAATCATTTTTTTGTTTTATTAAGGAACAAGAACCGTTTTTAAACATTCTTAAAATATTTAAAATATGTTTTATTGTTACCAAGTGTAGGTATTTTTCTGAATATAATTATATAATATAATAAAATATTTCATATATATTACGTATAACATGTACATAGGTATTTAAATTACAATTATTAACTTTTCTGAGATAATAAACTCAGTTATTTATCCATAAATGATTCAAATAAACAATATAAAAAACACTTGTGTATTTTATTGTAAGGTCACCAAATAATTAAATTCTTAACCATGTTTGACCCCCAAAAACCTACGTAACATGTCTGTCTCATCAATTCCAATATAAAATTTAAATTATAAAAATAATTTTAAAAGTAAATACTTTCCATGGATCTAAGTGAATTGTAATTCATTAAATCGAATAAAAGTTTAATTAGTACTTACTCTTTATTAATTGGTTAAACTAGCATGAGTAAAATTTATTTATTAAAAACTACAATAAATTAATTCTAGCGCGGGTTACGGCAACGAACTAAACGTGGTTCGCCATGAAATGAAATATCGCGTTATTTGTAAACAATGTGGTGGGGAATCTTTGTACCTTGAAAATATTATGAGTAACAATATTGGGCTATTTTTTTAATATAATATAATTCAAATAGTAATAAAGTACAAATCTCATGTTTGCTTACTTTTTGTGTAAACTATAGTAATATTTTTTTATTCCAATGAAAAACGAGATATCGTATCATTCATTCATAGCGTTAAACGTTTATACTAACAAATGACTCATGTATTTAGTTTTTAGATTCATAATAATAATTGTGTTATTTGTGCTACAATTTCGTAAAAAATATGTTTTAGTATAGTTTACAAGTCCATAATTTATGGACCATAAGTGGTAAAAATAATACCTAAAATATTTCACACGCCGATTACAAATAGTTTAATTCGTTTCGACTGGTACAAATATTTACATAAGACTAAATACTTGCTCAGCAGATATCCACCCCTATGGGCCGGTTTATCAATGTCCAGTTAAAGTTGCAGTTAGTTAACTGACAGATAATTTCCATGGATACCATTGTTCTCACAACGATCGATAAAAAATTTAACTCAGATAGACTAACTGGAACTTAACCAGAGATTAATAAACTGGCCCTAAGTCAAGAGCTTAAGGAAATACCCATGTCGAATTTCTCATAAACAATAATAATAGTCAATAGAATTTAAGGGCCACACAATAAGAGGGAATTCCTGTAAACTAATATTTTAATACCTATTACCAAGAACAATGGTATCTAACATAAGATTCCAAAAATTATCAATTAGTATTTTAATTTTAGCATGTTTACTCAGGTGATATAAATGATTATCATCTCTCTTAAAATGAAATATTCAAAATTCTACTATTTAAATTAGTATCAGCATTTATTGCCAATACAATGGTCGTTTTCACTTTTAAATAGTTATTTTTTACTACTTAAATAGTTAAAGTTTGAATAATATAAGATAAGTCACCATATTTTACTATTTCTGAGAGTTAAAAGTAACTAATTTTTTTAATCGTTTGCCGCCAACAAATTATTGCATACCTATAGGCTCCATGGTTAAATGGCCCATAAAAACAAACAAAGATGCAAAAAGTTGAGCTCAAAACAGCAACACAAAAAATTTATTCAAGTTTAAAATATTATGAACAATATTTATAGCCAAATAAAATTGATGTTTATAAAAGTGACTAATAGCCCATTGGTTATGATATTCTTATGATATTCGCTTGACAAGCTTGACAAGCGACAGACCAGAGTTCAAACCCCGACTGGGTCCGATATTTTTTAAATATAAATATACCAATTTGACTATATCATTCAGTAGAATTTGACTAATTATTATTGACTGCTTTTTCGCTATGACAATTAGCGAAATATAACTTGTAAATAGTTAGAGATAATACAAACATTAATTAATGACTGCAGTCATTAATTAATTGTTATAATATATAGATATACATATATATAATATACATATGTATATTATACATATTATAATATAAATATTCCATCCCGGCGCATTCGCCATTTTTGTTCTGTTTCATACATTTTTTCTAATTAATAATTTAATGAATAATGTAACAGTAATATACAGGGTGTTGAAATTTTAGAAAAAAAAATCGTTTTTTTCGAATATCTCCGGAACCATTTATCGTACAAAAAACAGCTTTTGTACGCATTTTCTACTCAAAATAAGCTATGTTTTGTGCTAGAAAAAAAATTTTTTCCCTCATAATTGATGGAGATTTTGAAGGGGTAGCGGGTGTTTTTCTCCTCAACTTCTACGCCCCTAAAAAAAGTACGGTTTTGAGAGGCCCATTCGAACCGCCAATGTTTTCTTCACAAAAAAGGTACTCCTGGTCATAAGCTCTAAAGTTGACCGTTTTCGAGAAAATTCAACTTTTATGTTTAAAAACATGGTCAATTTAAAAAAAACTATTTTTTTTTACTAATTAAACAAAATTTATTTTAACGTTAGGACAAGTAACAAAACCAAACCATAATTGCAAAATAAAAAATGATTTAAAAGTTGTCTTTGCTTAATTATCCAAACCGTAAAGGTAACGCATTTCGCACATTTCAGCATTTGAGTAAAAAATCATTTTTTATTTTTTTTTTTAATTTTGCAATTATCGTTTGGTTTTGTTACTTTTTCTAACGTTAAAATAAATTTTGTTTAATTAGTAATAAAAATTTTTTTTCAAAAAATTGACCATTTTTTTAAACATAAAAGTTGATTTTTCTCGAAAACGGTTAACTTTAGAGCTTATGACCAAGAGTACCTTTTTTCTGTAGAAAACATTGGCGGTTCGAATGGGCCTCTCAAAACCGTACTTTTTTCAGGGGCGTTGAAGTTGAGGAAAAAAACATCCGCTACCCCTTCAAAATCTCCACCAATTATGAGTAAAAAAAAAATTTTTCTGGCACAAAACATAGCTTATTATGAGTAGAAAATGCTTACAAAAGCTGTTTTTTGTACGATAAACGGTTCCAGAGATAATCGAAAAAAACGATTTTTTTTCTAAAATTTCAACACCCTGTATCTCGAAAATTGTGCATTTTAGAGGGTAAGTTAATAGCGACTTTTTTCATCTTTTTGGATGAGCTATCACATCCTGAAGTCCTGCGCATATATTATGAAACACCCTGTATAATCGTGTATAAAACTAATATAACCGGAATTTTGAGATGTGCTTAAAATTAAAAACAAAGTAAAATTAAATAACACAGTTCGACAAAATTTGATTTTTTCCCTAACATGAAAAATTTATATAGATTTTAAAAATAAACTTTAATAATAATACCTATGTCTCGGCGATCACGTAATTTTTTTTAATTGCGATCCAATAAAATTGTATCAATGGTATTTGGCACATACCTAATATAACAAATAATGACAGCTAGACTGTATAGTTTAAAAAATACATATTCAATGGACAACCATTAAAGCTACATTTTATATGTATTCTAATTATTACAGGGTGTTGCACATTTACGAAATACAGGGTGTTTCACGTTCGTGGTCCATTGACAGTTTGTGGGGAACCAAAAAACACATACATAAATATAATTATCGCGAAAATGTACATAACCATAATACTCGCTGTAAACATGATTTAATTGTCAATGTTAGCAGATTGGGAAGAACCAGAAATGGAACCAATTATTATGGTATTGAATTCTATAATTCCTTACCTTTACCTGTTAGGGCAATGAAGTTCGATTTATTTACATCTTGCATAAAAAACTACCTCATTAATAAATCTGATGAATATGTTATGAATAACTCTGGTGATTTTTTTAAGTGTATTATCTTTTAACAAAATTGTAATTTAAGTATATTTTACATTTTGTACACCTACGTATCTTTGTACTTTTATATTTGTATATTTTTTTGTTTGACCTGTGTAGAGATCTTGTATTTTTTGGCATTAAAATTAATTTATTATTAATATTATTATTATAAAGATATCAATTTAAAATTTTTAAAGCATCTACAGTCCAATTAATCCTATTTATTATAATATTTTGAACAAAATGTCACTTCCTGTTTTACCGGAAGTGACATCAACTTTGTTATTTGTTGGAATTAGATTTACACATGTACGCGGTTAATCCGGCGTCGCGACGCCTTCTTAGAATATCTAGTCTAAATTTGTATTGTTGAGTTTTGACAGAAGTTATGAATGTAAAGTTTGAAGTTTATAAAATAAACGGGTTTTCAATCAAATAATTGCTATTGAATCACGCGAGTTTTACTCGATTACCTCGTAATAACAACAGGTTATAGACCCTCGACGCTTACACTCCCCCCAAAGAGTGAACGAAGTGAAAACGCGTGAGCACGAAGAAGAAAATCCCCGAAGATGAGTTACTCAGCCGTCAAAATCGAACCAAACAATTTTGACACCTGGAAAATCCAAGTCGAAGCGCTGCTCATCAAAAATGAATCTTGAAAGTACGTAAAGGGAATCCTAAAGAAACCAATTGAACCAACAAAGGAAGTCGAGAAATGGGAAACCAACGACGAGAAGGCAAGGTCTGATTTAATCTTAGCAATTAGTCCTCCCGAATTGAAGCAGATTAAAAACTGCACTAGCTCCAAAGAAATTTGGGACAAATTACACAGCGTTTACCAGTCGAAGGGCCCCGCTCGAAAAGCTACGCTCCTGAAATCTTTAATTTTGTTAAAAATTAAAAATGGGGTAGATATGCGCGATCATTTGAAAAACTTCTTTGACATAGTGGACAAACTGCAAGAAATGGACCTGGAGATCGTCGAGGATATGCTCACCATCCTGCTTCTCTACAGCATCCCCGACGAATACGAATCTTTCCGGATCGCCATCGAAACACAAGAAAAATTACCAAGCCCAGAGAACCTGAAAATAAAACTCCAAGAAGAATACGAAGCCCGGAAAAGAAATATTGAAGAAATCCAGGGGGCTATGTTTGTAAAACACAATCAAAGTAAAGGAAATAATAATCCAGGTAAACTAAAAGAAAAAGAGAAAAATTAAAGTTTTAAATTTCCTTGTCATACTTGTGGAAAAATAGGGCATTATGCTCGAAATTGTAAATCAAAATTTTACAGAAAAAAGAATACCCCAGAAGTGGGCAGAATGTCCGAAGAATCGATCCATGTCGAATCCGAAGTTGCCATGAAAGCAAACACGAAGAATGAAGAGCAGTGGTGGCACCACTGTGGTGCCTGGATTCCGGTGCATCTTCCCATATGTGCTCGAAAAAAGAAAAATTCCGAGTAGTAACAGCTGCGAAACCACAGGTACTCAACCTGGCTAACAACAACTCCACGAAGATTGAAGGAAGTGATGTCGTGAAACTGAATACGAAGGAAGGGGTCACAGCAAAACTCGAAGATACTTTGTTTGTACCTGACCTCAGGTCAAACCTCCTATCCGTAAGTAAAATGACTCAACATGGTTTTGAAGTCATTTTCAAGAAGGATG